CCACCTGCCCCCACACTATCCCCTTGGCTGCCCTCCATTATCCCCCTGCACTGCTTCCCACACTGTCCCCGCACTGCTCCCTCAACCGCAACTATCAGCTGCCCTCTCTTTGGCCCCCACAAGTTTTCCCATCTCTGAGCACCAACAGATCACGGGCTCAGCCACACACACCTGCCATAAGCAGGAGCCCTGGAACCTGAGAAGGGGTTTCAGGACTGTCCCAGCACCAGCCCCTGCGCCTCCCTTCACCCATCTGGGGAATGGGCTGAAAAGAGCGTCTCACAGGGCTGCTGTGGGGTCTCATAAGGCCATTGAAGCAGACAGCTTGATACAGAGCCTGGTCCACAGCTCAAACCAGGGGTCAGGGTGGTGACGCCTCTACCTGGGACAGAATGGGGTGGGCCAGGGCCAGCCCCTCCCCTCCCCTCCCTGGGGCCTCAGGATTGACCCTGCCTCCTGGACAGGGTCCAACAAATTGAATGGGGGAAGCAGGAAATCAACACCTGCTCAGGCCCGTCCAGAACAGCCTCCGCCTCAGCTTCCCCCTCTGCAGCTGTGTGGGACTCAGCAGACAGGAACCTCGTGGCCCAGCCTACCTGAGGATGACGTACATGACGAGGCAGTTCCCCAGGAGCCCCCCGACACACACGGCCAGGTAGAGCCCCACGATGGTGACCTTGAGCCCGAGGGGCAGGAAGGCGCTGTGACTGGCATTGAGCAGCAGATGCGGAGGCAGCAGACTGTGGTTGGGACTGAGGAGGGACAGGTTGCCCTGAAGGTGGCTGCCGTAGATAACCTCCCAGAATGGGGCGGGGAAGAGAGGCTCCATGCCACTGCCCTGCAAATCCACTCAGTGCAGCACCTGGGACAGAGCACAGACAAGTGGCTGCAGTGCCAGACACACGCCCAGCCGAGGCCTCACAACCCAGCACGTGCAGCCCAGCAGGCACGTGGACCCCCACACTGGGCAGGCACAGGCACGGAGGTACACGGGCACACACAGAACACACAGGCACACATGCACAGGCAGGGGCACATGGAGACACGAGGACACAAAGACACACATGCACCCGCAAGGACACAGTCTCGTTCGGTTTAGAGACTCACATACAGGCTGCCTGGAGGCAGTTACACCCCAGGACACTGTCCACCCGCAGGGACTCATGAACACACAGCCACTGGGATGCAGGGACACACGTCACACACACAGACACACAGAAATGTCCAAACCTGCCCTCATGCACACGCAGGCACAAAAGAGACAGACACACCCAGAAACGCCTGGGACCCAGCCTTCCTCCTGGGAGCACAGCTTCCTCCTGCTCCCCCGCCCTGCTTTGCTGCAGTCTGTCAGCAGGACCCCCACCGGACCTCCAGCTCCCACCCGACCTCCAGCGGCTCAGGTCCTTACCTCTGCAACCTCCTTGGGAGCTGGGACCACCGTGGAGACCCCCACCCTCAGCCAGCCGGCAGTCTGGCACAGGTGCAGAGCAGGGTAGAAGAGGCCCAGCCGCCACTCGCCTCAGTACAGGATCTTCTCAGCAGACGCCAGACCAGACGCAGCAGCAGAGTGAGCCCGGCAGCCTGAAGCAGAGGGGAGGAGGAGGAGGAAGAGGAGGAGGCTGCAGCTCCAGAGGGGGAGGGGCTACACAGGCTGGAGGAGCGGGGGAGCTGCGGAAAGGTGGGTCACCGTGCCCAGGGCTGCGCCGGCCCCACACTGAAAGGGGACAGACACACAGACAGAGATGAACAAGGAGGCTCAGACCCACAGACCCCAGACAGAGATGCACACACAGCCCAGGATACATGGACAGAGATGCCCACAGGTTCACAGACACAGGAGTAGAGACACAGGACAGAGAGATACACACAAGGACACACAGACTCACACCCAGGGACGGAGTCTCAGGGAGACACACACGGAGACATGTTCACAGACTCGGACACATGTTCACAGACTCGGACACACAGACAGGGGGCCACGACTCACACAGAGACACAGCCTTGGACAGACTGGCCCGGACCCCACAGTTGGGCTCCCAGCACCCCAAAATGCCCCCACCTGGCCAGCTCTTGGCAGATCAAAGCTTCATTGTAAACACACAGGCAAGATGCTTGGGTCCAGGACACGGCACTGGCCCAGCACCTACTGTGTGCTCCTGGAGCTCAGTCACCCCACTGTACCCGGCCACTGCTAGAGCATGAAGCCTCAGAGGTGTGAGGCCGCCTGTCAGAGTGTCAGAGACAGGGTTGAAACGCCAAGGGCACCTCTGCCACAGCTGGGTCCCAGATCAATGCCTGAGCATCACTCCCTCAGACAGGCCCCTGGCACCCACACAGCTGAACGGTTCCTTTAGAGGTGCCTCCTTCTCAGCTCAGGGTCCCATGCCTGATCCACTGAGATGAAAGGTCACAGGTCAAGGCTGTCTGGGTGACCCCTGAGCTGAATCACCAGCTCCCACCCCGTCATGGGGTTGTACTTCCTGCACGAGCTTTGAAGGAGAACCAGACCTGTCCCCACACAGCTCAGACCCTGCTCAGAGCACCTTCTCCAAGAGTGGGGACCTGGTTGCTAGGCAACTGGCAGCAGGGTTGCTAGGATACCTGGCAAATCAGGAGAGGATGGAACAGGCAGATGCCCCAGGACCCAGCATCCCTCGCTGTCCCCCAGGACTTATCCCTGCATCTTCATGGCAACCAAGACTCAGGGACACGTGTGAAGGCACGGGGCACGTCAACAGAGACACTCAAGGGACACATGGGGACACACATTCCTGCAAACACACAAACAGATGCCCAGACAGGCATACGGGTGAACACACAGAGACGTGGTTACACACTCAGAAATGCAGACACTCACAGGGATGCACAAACACATCAAACACATGGGCCACACACGTGCAAGATGACGCCAAGGTGCACACAGGCACATGGGTAGACCTAGAGTGTGCATGGACACCTTCAGGAACAGGCAGACACAGGCCAAGGCCCTCCGACACCCAGAGGACCCACACATGCACAAACACGCTCTCCAGGCAAAGCTCAAGGATGAGCCCCCTGACCTCAGGAGCCGAGAGGGGGCAGAAATCCAGGCAGGATTGGACTCCTGCAGTCCCCAGCCCCAGCTGGGCTCACCAAGGTCTGAGCAGGAGACCCTAGACCCTCCTATCCCAGCTTCCTGAGCCTGCCTCCCAGCCTGGGACCCAGCCTGGGCACTGCAGGCACTGAGGGTGGGCAGAGCTGAGGCCTTGTAAGGGAAGGACAAAGGAGCCCCACCTCATGTCCCCCGCCAGGAACCAGTGTCAGAGGCCAGGGCGGAGCGTGGGACACAGGCACCTCATCCCTGCTACTGCAGACACCTCTCCCTCAGCATGTCTGCCTGCCACCTGGGTCACCCCCAAAACTTCCTCCCTACAGCCAGAGAGGGGGAGGATGAGGGGTTGAGATGGGGAGGAGGAGGAAAGGAAAAGGAGCGGGGAGAAAGTATGGAGAGATCAAGAGGGAGGATGGGTAAGGAAGGAGGGGAGAAGGGGGAGGAAAACACATTGGGGATAGAAGGAGGACAGGAAGAAAGGAGGGGGGATGAGGTCTGACCTAGCTCCCTGACTCCCACCTCTTTTGACCCCAAGCCTTCTCACCCAGCAATAGCAACCAGCCACCTGCACCCCCACCAAGGCAGCTCCCAGCTCTGCCTCGCCTGGCCTTTCAGGAGTCAACAGAGACCTCAACTCCGTTTGTGGGAGCCATTCAGTGTCCAGCAGAAGGCCGTGGCCTCCCCAGTCCAGGTGTTCACAATCTTATAATGTGTTCCCTTGAACTACCTGTGTGTTCTGTGTCATCCTGCCCTGACATGCTCATAACTACAGAACCCGGGACAGCTCCTCCCTCCCTTGTGCCTGCTGCAAACCACCTGCACAGACCCTGACACCCTGAACAGCCTAGGCCCCCTGCACAAAACCTGCCCCCCACCCACACAGACCCTGCCCCCTGCATTGACCCTGTGCACCTGCCTGCACACAACCTGTTCCCCCTGCAAAGATCCTGTCCCCTTGCAAAGACTCTGGCCACTCTGCGCAGACCCTGGCCTCCCTGCACACATCCTACCCCTTGCGCAGATCCTGACCACACCTGCAAAGATCTAGTCCCCCCAAACTCCGGCACAGACTGTGCCCCCACCCCACACAGATGCTATCCCCCTGCATAGATCATGGTCCCTCTGTACAGATCCTGCTCTCCCTGGACAGGTCCTGTCTCCCCACTCCCTTGAACAGACACTGACTCCCAATGTAGATCCTACCCACTGCACAGATCCTGGCCCCACTGCAAAGATTCTGCACCCTGCACAGGTTCTGTCACCTCCTAAAAGGCCTCACTGCAGAGACTCTTGCCCCCATGCAGAGATCCTGGCCTCGATGCACAATCCTGGTCCCTTGCATGGATCCTGCCCCACCCCAGCCAGCTGCAGTCCTACCTCCTCCAAGAAGCCCCAGGACCCTCAGCCCTCGGAACTTTCCTAACTTGGCCATGATTCAGTAATACGGCTGCCAGGCTAGGCCTGTGAGCTCTGGTCTCAGCAGGCATCCTCTGAGAGCATGGTCAGCGGACCCCGCAGAGACCCGCAGGAGACAGGCGCCTGGCCCCTCACAGGCGCAGTCTTAGAGGAAAGGACAGGCCTGGTCACCTGGCCAGGGGAGTGGCCAGGTGTGACACTGACTATGCTCCCTGGGGTTGGCAGGGGTCCAGCCCCAGACCCAGAAAGGCTCCCACAGAGGAGAGCTGGTGGCGCAGATGAAACAGTCCAGGTTTCTCTAGACCCCGAACAGAGTCCTGCCCTCCCCCAACCTGCCAAGGATGGGGTGGTCTCTCCAGAAGGGGGAAGGTAGAATCAGGGTCCTATATGGAACATACACGTCATGCAAGAGATAGCAAGAGACACATGTTATATGAGGGAGCAAGACAACCTCAAACACACATGTCCTAAGCAGGCAAAACAACAGGCGAGCATACTAGGGATAGCCCAAGACATGATACGGTGACACATGAATGACAGCACAGAACTTGCGTCCACGAATTACGGTCAAAGCCTGACACAGGCTGCTCTTGGAGCTCCTGGGTATTTGGGCAGGCCTAGGTTCTGGGTGAGATTCACACCTACTCACCAGGCAGATACACACACCTCACCTTCATCCAGTGACTCAGAATCAGACGGCAGCTGGAGCACTGTCCTTTGTCCTCACCACTCCCATCCCCAGGGCAGGCACAGTCTACCCCCTCCTTCCACAGGTTCACCACCCTGGGCTGGCCAAGTACAGGAATCAAAGCAGAGGGTCTGGCAGCCCCACACAGAGCAGCCATCCCGTGGGGAAGCCAGTCACCAGGCCATACATTTGTACTATTTAAAAAGTGAAAGAATTTTAACAATTCTGAGTTTCATCAGAATAAATTACTTTGTCTTTGTGACCTTAACTTTACAAAATTTATATACAATGACAAAAAAATTGAGTTGTAGCTTCTCAATATAATGTTAAACTTTGTAGTCATTAATAAAGCTTACTAATTTGACTTGAAGGTTCATTGTCAGGCCTTGGCAGGAATAAACATGCTTTTAGATCTCAGCATTTCCGTTAGCCCTTGAAAAACACGTGAATCCTGGGGACAGAAACAGATGGGAGGTGTCGGCCTGCTGGGTCCCTCACAGTTCCTGGACCCCAGACACACAGAGAACGCCTCCCTCCCTGAAGAACTGCAAATGTGTGGAGAAACGGCAGGGGTGAGGAATGTGAGCCAGGTAGGTCCCGGGAGAACCTGCTGGGAATTATGGACTAGGGGGTGTCAAGGTTTTCCAGTCCTATTAAAACAGAAGAAGGTTACAAGCCCCTTTGTGCAGAACAGAAGAACATTCTCTTACTCCCAGCATTAACTCCCCCACAAACACCAAGAGCCAGAAAGTGTCCCACCCATGTGTCCCCCTGGCCCAGACCCAGGGAAGCTGAGAGGATGGCCCAGGTCCCTGTCTCAAAGGACTCACCCCTATGGGAGGACAAGGGCTGCCGGGAGGAAACAGCTGCTGGGTGAGCATCCCTACGAAGTCACTGCTGCTTCCAGAGACCAAGGACCTTCCTCAAGCCAGGCTGGTGCTGCAGCCCAGGCAGGACCCCAAAGACACCTGCAGGAGGGGAGGGAACAGCACCAGGAAGGGCCTTCTGGGGAGCGGTAAAAGCTTGAGGGCTGGAAGGATGGGCCTAGCCACAGGATGGGGTGCCGGCTCGGGGTCATAGGGCTGAATGTCAAAGTTTACCCTCTTACTGAGAGGTCAGGGCGGTCTCCCAAAAGCAATGGGAACACCCAACAGCCTCCTGCAAAAAGGCCGGAGCCTCAGCTAAGACCCTGCTTCTCAGCTAGGACAGCCCAACTCCCAGACTCCCAGGTTCCCAACTCCCAGCAAGGTGCCCCAGCGGCAGGTCTGTGAATGTAGAGAGAGTACAGACGTCTCATGGAAGTAACA